TCTGAACCTCATATCATAGTTTTCCATGGAGAGAATGGGCAGATCTCTCCTGAATCAGCCCTGTGAGTTCTCATTCAGTCAACTGCTCAATCTCTTGGGGGAGGGGCCAGCATACAGGTACCCCAAATTATTCTATTTGTTAATTGCGGCCAATCACATCCCAATAAAAATGAGACCCTATGTGAAAGGGCTCCAAAAGCAATTTACATGTAAAATCTCCTCATCACCATAATCTTCACTTAGGAAGAACTGCATTATATGGATCTTCTTCTTAGCAAGGATCAGGAGTGTTATCAATGTAGTGTCCACCTCATAGGAAGCAAAGCCTGCTTTCAAAAGAGTTGCACTTAGGGGTGAGGAAGAACAACTAAACCAGATTGTTCTGGTATGTCCCCTGATACAGTTTGTGTGACAGCAAAGTCAATATTGTTCCAGGCCATTTGTCCCATCAACTCAAGCTACGTGAGTGAATTCCTTGAGGGAGAGTAATTACTGTATCAGAAGCCGGTGAAATTCTCCTTGGGGTGTACTTTTTCTCCTGAGAATCGTTCCTTTCACAATTACATTCTCTACTAGGAATCTACTAAATGATCTAGTTTACCTCCAAAGATATCATTAATCATATGGTGAAAATGTAAGTACAATTGAAAATACAAGATGTTTTGTTAAATGTTACAGTCAATGCTTGGTAAACATCAAGCTAAAAAATTTTAAAGAATCAGTGCCCAGCATTTCCTTCTTAAAAATACTGTTGTTGATTCCTCACTTCTAAGGGTTATAAAGTTCTCTTTACGATAATTATGAGACGTTTATAATGTTATTCTGGTCACAATGCCCAGCCTTGCTGTAGCATTCTGTATTGAGTTCATGTCGCAGCACCATGTTCTGGGAGAAATTGTATGAGAAAAATACCTTTCCCGGAATGAACTGCAGTGGTCCTATGTCTTTGTAATGGAAAGAAACTTGGGCTGGGAATTAAAGCAACTGGGTCCCAACTCTGGTTCCCACCTTGAGCAAACCGCGTCTGGGCCTGGGCTCCTGTTTCCATCTCCTTACTATGAAGCAGTTCGACCAGGTACTTTCAAATCTTTTTCACCTCTTTCATTTGGATGTGCAACACCATAGTGTCCAACCCTAAAGTGAACATTCTCATTAACTCGACATGTCAAGCTGAATTTTCAAAAGTTTAAAACAATCAACTTGATACAGACAGCAGAACTAATATGGTGAGAGCAGAAAGAGAAGTAGCCTCTGACCTGAAGGTCACACTTGAAGTAGCACAGAAATGATGCCAAATACAAAAACACCACTGTGAGAAGAGAGAAATGCAGAGAGAGGCCGGGGTCTGACTTCTCAGTTTAACCTAATCATTGCCGGGGACTGGAACTGTCATCAGCGGTTGGAGGGACAAAAACAGGAAAGAGAAGGGCTCACAAAGAGGGACAAAGGAGACAGATTTGAGGGCCAGCAGGAATAGAAGCAGGCAAAGAGGATGTGACCCCTGTGGGTGAGGCCGAGTGGGATGCACGTGCACCAGGGTCCAGAGCAATATCTCCTGGGCAGTCTAGTGCCTGGGTTCACGGTTAATGTACACTTTTATTATTTGTCCTGGGGGTGGCTCTTAATTGGGGAAACACAGTACCCAAGTTCAGAGCCAACAGGATGCAGCGCTCAGGAGCAGACTGGTGATGAGAGCAGTGAGCTTGGAGAAGGTTTCTGCTGCTAACTCTCTCCACTGGGAAAAACTCTAGGTTTCCCTGGCCCTGGTCCTCCAGCCACCAATAGCAAGGCACCTTGTGGGAACCCATGCCTCCAGGAAGAGCTCTGCTTCCCTGCTGGCAGCACTGGCCCTGGCCTCCCTAAGCCTTTGCACTAGGCAAGGCCTGGCCACTGTGTTGGGGTACACAGATCTGGAAATCACTGCTCCCATTACAGGCCTTCCCCTCTCCAACTCAAGAGCACGGGCAAGCCCCTTAACCACCCCAACCTTATTTTCTTTCTATTTCATGAGAAGAGGAACAGGTGTTTTCCACCCCAAATGTATGCCAGAGTGTTAAACCACTTGGGCTCTCAACTGCAGGTACCAGGAACAAAGGGAAGGCTGGGTGCACAGGGAGGAAGGGCAGGGACAGGGAAGACAAACACAGGTGCTTCTGTGGCTGTGGAGGCCAGCTGGGGAGGAAGCCAGCTAGCAAACCACCCTCACCACCTACTTGGCAAGAAACAGCAACTGGGACACACCAGACCCATCCTGGTCCGTCAACCCCTCTGGCTCTACCCACCCCTGACTCATGGGCAGGTCCCTCAGGGCCGATTTCCAAATCCTCCTCCGCCTGAGCACACAAGGTTACTATAGGGCAAGTATTTATCTGGTGGCCACCAGGGCTGAGCTTCTAAGAATGGACAGTTATGGCTCCTCCATCACTAAAAGACCGTCACCAGCTGGCTTACTCTGACAACTCACATGACCAGTTTTAAGACTTAGAGAATATAGGTGACAAGTCACATACTGGGCAAGGCATGACACTCTGCACTTGCAAACATCAGGTCCGCACCTGTGTACCAGGCTTTGTGTCAACACATTTCAAATGTCTGCGTTTCTGTCCTGTGACCCATCTTCATTTAATAAGATACCTGTCGCTGCATTTTCAAGCATCACAATGCCATTTCTAAGGCCATACATAACAGATAGAAAGCCACTCTGTGGTACTTAAATCTTGCCACAATTTGTCTCTATAGACAATGAGACCAAAACCTGACAAGGCTCTCCTGGTACTTTTTGCATTTTCTGTAAAATATTTCTGCAAATTGAGAAGGAGAAATCCATAAACATATGTTGAAATGTCAACAGGCTCCAGGAATGGGCCAAAACCTGAGCTTCCACAGAATTGCTTTCTTAACAAAACAGGCTAGCACACTCTGAAAATGTAAGTATCACATAACAATGCTATACAATCAGCTATTGAGAAGGGACAGGATCTGCTCCTGGTTGTGCAAACATAAACATAAAACCATCCAGCAACCAACTGGGCTCACAGGTCTCAGAGGCCATCTATCAAGGTCTTAAAATTGTGATTACATCTAAGTCCAGAACATGTCAAGCGTCTCAAAAGCTTAGTTTCAAGAGAGTAGAAAAACAAAATGAAGATAATAGGGAAAATAAGAAATACAAATAAAAATGTAAGCAGTGAGTCTGGGTTGGTCTTTAAAAAGGGGCCAGATGTGGTCGCTTATGCCTGTCATCCCAACACTTTGGGAGGCTGAGGCGAGAAGATTGCCTGAGACCCGAAGTTTGAGACCAGTCTGGGCAACATGGTGAGAACTTGTCTTCACAAAGAAAAAAAAAATTAAAATCAGCCAGACGTGGTGGCATGTGCCTATAGTCTCAGTTACTCAGGAGGTTGAGGTAGAAGGATCGTCTGAGCCCAGGAGGTCAGGCTGCGTTGAGGCATGATCATGCCACTACACTCCAGCTTGGGCGACAGAGGGAGATGCTGACTCAATGAAAGAAAGAGAGAGAGAGAGAGAAAGAGTTGAACCTAGATTTAAGATTAGAGTGCTAAAAAATTATTATAATACTCCACTGGTACCTGAGTCACTTTCATTGTTCCAAAGCTCTCACAAATGCTCAAGTCGCTTTCAATGATTTGGTAGAAACCAGGGACCGTGGTTTCTTGGTTATATCTGGCAGGTCCTCTGCCCATCAGCTGCCCCCGCCCCACCCGTCTGATCTGCTGTTGAATTGGTGATGAGGGCATGGAGCCCTGGGGGACCAAGGATAAGTCTCACAAGAAGAAACAGATCAGTTTAGAAAAAGAAATGCCAACCCAGGGAGGCATGAATGCCACACACTTTGAAGATCGGGAGCTAGAAAACATTGATGAGAAAAGCACCAGTCCCTTTAACATGTCCCAAGCCAGTGACAACCACCTGCATCATGTGGCTTTTCAGAGCCTTCCTGAGTCCTGACCTCTCTGTTTCTCCTATTTTTATTCATATGGCTCATTTTACAACCATTTATTTTTCCTTCTAGCCCACCAACACCACCCACAGAAGAGTTCCTTCAAGACCCTTAAGTGAAAGTGATTGATTTCCAGAGGGGAGGTTAGCCTAGGTCACTGGCTGCTTCTTAGCACTTCACACTTGGGAGGTAGCACTTGCCTGCCATGTTGCTTTAGAGGTTTGAAAAATAACTCCATCTTGAAAGACTCACATGAACAGCATCACAGAGGAGGACCCTCTGACATGGAACCAACCCAGATATCCATCAAAAGTGGACTGGATAAACAAAATGTGGTACATATTCACAATGGAATGCTATATAGCCATAAAGAAAAACAAAATCATGGCCTTTGCAGCAACTTAGATGCAGTTAGAGACCACCATACTAAGTGAACTATCACAGAAATAAAGAACTGAATACCTCATGTTCTCACTCATAAGTGGACCCTGATCACTGGTCACACTAGCACAAGAATGGGACTGGCAGATACTGAACACTGTAGGGGAGGGAGGGAGGGAAGAGAGAGGGAAGAGACAGGGAACGTGGCAGCACAAAGTGTACCTGGTTCACTACCAAGGGAAAAGAGGGGCATCCAGAAGCCCAAACTTCACCTCATGCAGCCTACTTATGTAGTAAATCCTCACTTGTACCCCACAACTCTAAAATAACATAACCAAATTAATAAATAAGAGGACACTCTGAGCACATGCCAGAAACAAGCACACACTGACACGGTTCAGTCTTTGTGAAAATCATTGTAATAATACCACAGGATTTTAGAGTCACCATGAACTTTGAGATCACTGAATCCAATCTGCCAATTTTATAGATGAGGAAAAATCAGGCATGAAACAATGAAATAAACCGCTCACAGCAGTGACCACTGGAAAGAGAAGCATCGCCACCCAACTTCCAGACCTCGATTTTGCCCAAACAACCTGTTGCTTCCTCTATAGGCTCCTCCCAGCTCAGTGAACACAGAGACCTCCATCCCTACCTTTCTTCCTCCACCAGGGTCCTTCTGGAACTGAGTAGGAGAGGTCCTTGAATTCAATGTTCACAGCGGCCCTCCGAGGCAGGGAGGAGAAGCGCTGGGCCTCTGTGAGGTTGTTGTCCACTTTTTTCAAGTGTCCGTTCAGCAGGTCTGTCTCCGCAGCATCCATGCTGCTGGAGACCACCTCGTCCACCGAGACACACACCGATTTGGGCTCCGTCATTGCTGCAGAGTAACTGCTGGCATTCTAGAAAAATGGGGAGAAAGTAACAAGATCTGTTACAAGCTGCATCAAGAGAGTGTAAAGAGATTCATCATTAGGTGCGGGGTCATGGATTATTAATAGCAACACTCCTTCAGCTGCAGCAGAGCCTCTGGCCCCGGAAGAAAGGCACTTACTTGGGGGAATCTGTCATCTCTAACCATCTTTTTTGTTTTTTTTTTTTTTTGGCTTGGGATAAAATGTGACACGGATCCATAAGTCTTACTTTCAAATCAAAAAATCTACTCACTAAACTTTAACAAAGGAATCACTTGCTCCAAGGAAGAAAACATTAACCCCATAAAAAAAATTATCTATTTACAGTCCTCTCATTAAAAAACCTTCATAAAGATTAAGAGGTATCTAAGAAATGTATCACTGAAAAAGTTTTATTTACAATTAGCTTATTTAGTGCCTTCCTCAAATAATCTCATAAAAATTTCTCAAGAGCAATAGCACCACTTGAACTACTGAGTTTTATGGGGGTTGGCCTTTGTAGTTCCCTTCTAAAATTTCCAAATCAGCTGGGCACAGTGGCTGTCACCTCTAATCCTAGCACTTTGGTAGGTGGAGGCAGGAGACAGTTTGAGCCCAGGGGTTTGAGACCAGCCTGGGTAACTTGGCAAGACCTTGCCTCTAAAACAAATCAACAAATTAGCCAGGTATGGTGGCGTGCACCTGTGCTTTCAGACACTTGGAAGGCTGAAGTGGAAAGATTGCCTGAGCCCAGCAGGTCAAGGCTGTGGTAGTCATGCACATGCCACTGCACTCCAGCCTGGAGACAGAGTGAGACTCTGACTCAAAAATAAAAATAAAAATAAAAAATTTCCGAATTCCTTGCAACTCTCTCTTCTCGCTGTTTCTCCACACTAGCACTAAAAAGTTGGAAAGCATAATATATTTTTAAATCGATTATAGAGATAAGGAAACTGAGGCACAGACAATTTAAGGAACCTGTCCTGAGTCCCACATTCAAGAGACTAGCAAAAGTGATCCCAGAATTTGAGTCATCAACAACAACAACAACAACAAAACCAGTTAGGTGTTCATTTCACTGCATATCATGAGAGTACATGGTATTTTTGTAGCTAGGATTGGCTTTTACAGCTTCCATTGGAAGTCAGATGAACTGGTACAGATGTGCCAAGAACCGAAAGGATTTGTGCAAAGAAAGGCATATTGTTTTCTAATGGCCTGGCAACCCTGAGCAAATCAATAAGCTTCAGGTACCTCCAAGATGCAGAGCTACCCCGGGGGGACAAACATGCTGTACTTTTTCTAGCTGCCTCCTGGAACAGAGATTGCCCCACAGTGCCAATAGCACAGGCCTTCCGTGACACTGGCCGTCTTGCTGACAGCAGCCTGCCCTACTAGGAGAGACCACACTGCCAGTCTGGGGTAATTCCGACCATTCTCACCGCCGGTGAGGTCACTGCTGTGTTGTGATTTGTCCTAAAGGGGCATCGCATCATATTCTTTTTCCATGGGTTTGTTAACTATTTCTTTAGAGTTTCTTGCTGTTTATCACTGTTATTTCTTATCAAAAACCCAAGACAAAACCAGAGAGTAGATCTTCCTTAAAAATTCCCACAGGACCAGGCATAGTGGTTCACACCTGTAATCGCAGCACTTTGGAAGGCCCAGGCAGGAGGATAGCTTGAGGCCAAGAGCTCAAGACCAGCCTGAGCAACAGAGTGAGACCCTGTCTCTACAAAAAATTGGCCCAATGTGGTGGCTCACACCTATAGTCCTAGCTACTCAGGAAGCTGAGGTGGGAGGATCACTTGAGCCCAGGAAGTTGAGGCTGTAGTAAGCTATGATTGAGCCACTGCACTAAGCCTGGGCAACAGGGATTTCATGTCTTAAAAAATAAAAAAAAACTACACAAACTCACAAACTCTAGCAACTCAAGTTGTCAAACCCTGAACGCCCCCTCCACACACACACACTATAATGCTCTCTTGGCATTATTCCTCTCATGTTTACTTAAGGGTTCAAAAGTCTGTCTGTAAGCTTGGAGGTTTCCAATAGTTAAAACACAAAAGGGGAGAGGTGGGCCCAGGACTATAGACCTCTAGATGATTGAAAACAATATGCAAACAACCCCCCCCATGAATACATGCGCCACACACACACCCACCACACACGATATGCATATACCACACATACACCCACACCCACTACACACCACACTACCACACACACACCACTACATACCACATACAGACACATCACACACCACACACAAAATACATGCACCACACACATCACCCCCAACATACAACATGTTGCATCCCACACCACCACACACCATATGCACACACACATACCATACACATTCACATTACACTACACACACTATACACCACACAACACATAGTTCACACAGACCACACACATACACACTACATGCACACACTGTGCACCACACACACACCACACAGACCACACATATACACAAACCACACTTGCCACACACCACACACACACTCTCACACATCCATCTTCCTGCCCCCACACCCCTCATAGGCATCTTCCACTCCTAAAAGCCTTAACCTAATCAAGACTCAGCTCATGGATTATGATAGTGTGTGGGTGAAAATAAAGGTGCAGAATAAAACTCTGACAAAAGTAAGCCTGGCTGGTTGCTGGCGCCACGCATGTGGAATGTTCCGAGTGTCAGTGTAAGTAGATTCTACACTCCCAGGAGGAGGATTGTGTTCGCCTGACCAGGGGACTCCTCAGATTTGAGGATGAGATGTGGGGTCCCTCGAGGGAGCTGAGTTGGTGCCTCTGTGTCAGGGCCTACTGAGATAGAGGAGGCCCTCCTGGGTGGACACCCTGCCCACCCAGCCGGCTCTGGGCCTCGGCTGTGGGGTGGAAGGTGTGGCTACTGCTCCATCCCTGCTGATCTGGCCTGTCCTTCGGGGTCCCCTGCTGCTGCCCAGTGTTTATAACTAATTTTGACTTCAATAGAGCCCTGGAAAGTACCAAATCTTGGCTTGAGGGGTTAGGGGGCTATCAAGGGAGCCATGGGGCAAGCCCATTTGCCCTAGGCCTGCTCCCCAAAGTCCATTCCCATCACTGCCCCCCTACACACACCATGCCACACAAAAGGAAAGGCAGAATGTGCTGGGTCCAACCTGTGTCCTGCTGGCTGACAGGAGCTCTGGCGCTGGTATCCCCAATGGCTGTGTGTTCATTTGGGTATGAGAGAAGGGGGGGTGATCTAGCAATTCCTCCCTCACTGTGGGCCCCCCTCTACCTCCATGCCTAGGATGCCCACTGCCACAGACCATCCATAATCTCTCCTCAGGTACCCATCACAGGTATCAGGCCCCAGGAAAGCACCAGGACAGGCGTCTATTTCCTTGTTGATGCAGCTCACGCTGACACAGGGTGAACGGTCACCGCTCCACCCATCTACACCATAATGAGGGTCTGACTCTCCCCACTATACTCTAAGCCTGTCCTTTCACACACTCATTCACTAACTAATTCACTGGACAAACTGAGCACCAGATAAAGCCTTGGGTTCAGCAGATAGATGGCCTCTGGCCTAGCAAGTTCAAGTTCAAGATCTGGCACCAGGCAAGAAAACAGGCAATTAGTTACAATAGGGCAAGGCAACAGCCAGGCAGATGTTGACCAGATGTCCAAATTGTCTGGGGTGACCAGATGTCCAAGTTGGCTGGGTCAACCAGGTATCTGTGTTGGAAGAAATATCTAATGCAATGCCAGCCCCGGGATAGAGGAACTCAGGACAGAGTGGACAGAGTCTTTGTGCAGAAATAAAATCTTAGCTGAGTTTAGCAAGTTGAGATGGAGGGAGAGCTGGTTCATCGTGGTTCCTGCCAAGGGTAAGCAACAAGAGACAGTGGAACATTCAGAGACTGTGAGGAACTCAGGGCCTGGAGCATGGATTTAGGATGGAGGTGGGGGCAGAAGGGCAGGGGGCTTTGGAGTAAGATGAAACTAGAGAGGCAGACAGGGTCCCCATGGTAAAGGGCTTGCAAACTTTGTTAAGGGTTTTGCATTTTATCTAGAGATCTCTGGGGAGCCCCCAAAGGAGTAACAGGACCAGAACTGCAGAATCACTGAGCCATCTCCTGTAGCACTGAAAGACCAGTGGGGTGATGGTGGCCTGGATCAGCTGTTGGCAGTGGGGACAGAGGCCAGGGGAGAGGCCAGAAGGATAAAGCTGAATAAAGCTGAGTGACTAAATTGATTTGGGAGGGAGAGAAAGAGGGAGAAGGGAGAGGGGAGAAGGGGTTTGGGGAGAGGGAGAGAGAGAGAGAGAGAGAGAGAGAGAGAGAGAGAGAGAGAGAGACCAGAGTCAAGTGCTTACAATTTAAGGTATTAAATAATAATGCCTCATGCATGCTAGTAAGTGATTACAAATGATAGTGACTATTGATTCAGCAATTACCATGTGCCGATTAAACTCCAGCCTGTATAGATTACACCTCTAATTATCTCCACAGCTTTAAGGGGAACGAGGGGAATGACCATCTCCATTTTGGAGGAGAAGCAGAAAACACAGAGACTGTCTGACTTGCCCAAGACCCCATGTTAGGAGTGGCCAGGCGGAGGTCCAGCTCTGGGGCACTTCCAAGTCCAAGCCTGCATTTCCACTCAACTACCTTAATGGCCCCTAAAATGTTTAGCTTTTCACAGGCACATGTGGGTGCTTCTGAGTCACCCTAGCCCTTGTCCATGATAGGAAAACTCACAACAAACTGTGGACATCGTGCTGTCCCACCCTCAAGTAAACCAACACGTACAGCAGCCCACCTTTCCTTCACAGGCGTCCAGTGGCCTCACCCAATTAATAAAATCATGGAAACAGCCTGACACGAGGCAGTGGCCTGTCACTCCAAAATAGACCAGCTCTCTGGAAACACATCCTCCGATGAGAGCTACCGGCAATGTAGGTTACAGACAGCTTCTCCTCGACCTCCTGAGCTCATTAAAAATAAAACAAATACATCTTCCCTTCTTATTTTTTTCCTTTCACTGTTTTGCTTCCCTATCCTACTGAAACACTGTCCATACAATTTGTGCTGCATAACACATTGTAAATACTAGTAAATTCATTCATGAATGTTGAATGCTGAGGAAACCCTGTTTGGATTGTTCCTGGTGAGCATTCGTGGGGATATTTTCCTGGGCGCTGAGCAGAATGGCCTGTGATTTCAGTTTTAATGCTGGGCCTGTAAATATGACTGTTTAGCTGGGGAGGATCTCCGACAGTCAGTAAACTACCTGACTTCTACCAGGGACACAGAGTCAGAGATAGAAACTTTCCCTTTCAGCATTATGGGGAGGAAGAGGAGCCAGCCAGTACTGGGTATGCGACATGCAATTCTCTCTCTTTTTTCTCTTTGGTTCATGGCTGCCCACCTTGTTACCCACCCAGGTATCAAGTGGCCTCCCTGGGTGTCCTGGACACATAAGAGGAAAATGTACTGACTGAGAATCCTCAAGTCTCATGGGCAACTAACCTTGAGACTTAACACACCCTTAACTGTGCTGGAGAGCAGATGGCACTTGAAGGGTCACTCAGAATGCCAGAACAGCTCCAAATACCACTCTTCTGTTGGAAACACTTGCTGCCCCTCCCATGCCTGCTGAGCTCAGGGACTCCAGCACATGCTCCCCTGGATGCCCAGCTCATCTTCAGGGGCACCTTCTCCAACTCACAGCTCAGAGGGTCTGCAACAGGCAGGACCCCAGATAAGGAAGCAAGGCTTCAGATCCTGGGTATCTCTCAAGGGCTCTTTGTTTATGACTTGGGTAAAACTTATTTCTTGTTTGTTTGTTTTTCTTTTAAGCCTACAGTCCCCCCCAAAATCCCAAGCAGTCTCTCATCCTAGTACTACCCAGGCCCCACCCTATTTAGCTTCAGAGATCAGATGAAATTGGTGTTTTCAGGGTGGGATAGTCATAGATGGATAGACATTTTACCAGGTTTTCAGGGAGGAAATCTTTTTTTGAGGGGGGTCACAGTCTCACTGTCACCCAGGCTGGAGTGCAATGGCACACTAACGGCCACTGCAGCCTCAACTTGCTGGGCTCAGGCGATCCGTCTACCTTAGCCTTACAAGTAGCTGGAACCACAGGTGCGCACCACCATGCTCAGCTAATTTTTTGATTTAGTGTAGAGGTGAGGTCTCACCAAGTTGCCCGGGCTGGTCTCAAACCCCTGGGCTCGGGCAATCCTTTCGCTTCTGCCTCCCAAAGTGGTGGGATTACAGGTATGAGCCACTGTGCCTGGCAAGGAAAATGATTTTCAAACAAAACAATGTTCCCCCACAAAATGAACTCAGCCATTAGTGTCTCCTGTGAAAACAGAACACAAACTCTGGGGCTGTATCAAGCCACAACATAGTATTTTTTAAAATCTTGGTATAAAACTGTATCTTAAAACATTCTGATTCATCATTTTTTCCATACGTAAAGCCACTTTTGCAGTTTTAAAAGGACTTCAAGAGTTACCCAGCAACTAACAGATCTGAAACTTTCTTTGACTATAACCAGCATCAACCATCACCTTAATTTTCCATCATCAACCGAACTTAGGAATTAGAAGATGAACAAGTGCAAAAGGAGGAATTCCCAAGAGTTACCCCAACATTCAACCAGAGAAAAGCAAGTATCACCAGGAGGAGACTGGCTTTTCCCTGACATGCATTGCCTCTTCTACGTAAGAAGCCACTCGGTGAAGACAGAGCAGCCCCGAGGTGGTGGCCGGCCTGTGGGTCTCTCCTTCCCACCCCCTCACTGTGTCTGCGGCCCCAATCTATCGGTTTTCACAAAATCATTACATAATGAGCTGGCGAGGCGCGGTATGTTCTACAGTAACCTGTTTGGAATCATAGGATGCAGTTGTCAGAGCTGAGCATGCGCAGAAACCCGACTACTTTTTTTTTTTTTTTCCTGAGCTCAAGGCAAGAGGTAACTGTCGGTCAAATCCTGCGGAGCTCTGCTGACTTCAAACACAGGATGCTAAAAATGAAATAAAGCGGAGGGGCGGGGGTGAACCCCGGTGCGTGCTATGAGCTGTGGGTTTGCAGCCTCTGGGAAGGAACTAGCAGGATAGTAACTACACGGATAGACTCTAGCAAATAATGACAAGGGTTGGAATATGGAAGACTTTCTGTTTGGACTTTAGATACCTAGCTGCAATGTTGGTGTGGTAGGCGTGGAAATGGGTGGGTGGGCTGATGGTTAGTTTGTTGCTGGTTTTTTTTTTTTCCTAATGTGAGAAAAACAGCAAGGGGGGATTCCTAACCATTCTTGGGAACAGCATTTGCGGTAACTG